CAGAATGTTACTGATGCATTGAACTCACAGGGTGTTATTCTTGTTGATTTTCTGCAACATGGTGCCACATTCAACAGCGAAACTTATGTAACCACACTCAAGAAACTTAAGGAGGCCATAAGAAAGCAGATGTTGTTCCATCAAGCTTCATCACAATAATGCATGCTCACGCATGTCATTTTTCACAACCCAGGCAGTTGCAAAAATGGGCTGGTCAGTAGTACCTTACCCACCCTACAGTCCTGATTTTGCCCCTTCTACCTTTTACCTGTTTGGACCCATGAAAGACAACCTACGTGGTTTCAGATTCAATGACCCGAATGACATTAAAACAGCTTCATAATCATGGATCATGAAGCAAAAACCTGAATTTTTCCAAAATGGCTTGGGTTAAACAATGGCACAAATGTGACTGTGTTGAATGGTAGTTTTGTGTACAGTTTAGGCTATGGTCTGTAGCAATTTCTGCAGTTATATGATCATTCATAATGTTTTTATGATACATGATGATGAATTTACCCTTGTCCATTCATGATCCATTAGATCAGTGTTTCTCAACCTAGGGGTTGGGACCCCTGGGGGGTCATTAGGGGGTGTCAGAGGGATCACCAAAGACCATCAGAAAACACAGTATTTTCTGTGGGTTATGGGGGTTCTGTGTGGGAAGTTTGGCCCAATTCTATCATTGGTGGAGTTCAGAATGCTCTTTGATTGTAGGTGAACTATAAATCTCAGAAACTACAATTCCCAAATATCAAGGTATATTTTCCCCAAACTCCACCAGTGCTCACATTTGGGCATATTGAGTATCCATGCCAAGTTTGGTCCAGATCCATCATTGTTTGGGTCCACAGTGATCTCTGTATGTAGTTAAACTACAACTCCAAAACTCAAGGTCAATGCCCACCAAACCCTTCCAGTATTTTCTGTTGGTCTTGTGAGTTCTGTGTGCCAAGTTTGGTTCAATTCCATTGTTCGGAATGCTCTTTGATGGTAGGTTAACTATAAATCCCAGCGACTACAACTCCCAAATGACAAAATCAGATCAGCCCCCTCCCTCCTGACCTTTCGTAAGAGAGTGAAAACCTGGCTCTTCAAGCAGGCATTCGGAACCCCGGAATAGTCAAGCTTGAGATGGAGAATGACCCAGGAACAGCCAAGACGGTGAAACGGATGAGGATTGGAATGAGAGGATTGGAATGAGAGCATATAGCTCTTTTTAAATTGTTATTGCGCTGTCTTTTTTGTCTAAATGCACTTAATTGTTTTTGCTTTTGTATTGTATTGATGGCATCAAATTGTGCCGATATGTAGACCGCCCTGAGTCGCCTGCGGGCTGATATGGGCGGGATATAAGTGATGTAAATAAATAAATAAATAAATAAATAAATAAATAAATAAATAAAATCAATCTCCCCAACCCCACCAGTATTCAAATTTGGACGTATTGGGTATTTGTGCCAAATGTGGTCCAGTGAATTAAAATGCATCCTGCCTATCAGATATTTACATTATGATTCATAACAGTGGCAAAGTTACAGTTACGAAGTAGCAAAGAAAATAATTTTATGGTTGGGGGTCACCACAACATGGGGAACTGTATTAAGGGGTCACAGAATTAGAAAGGTTGAGAACCACTGCATTAGATGTATGTGTACTTTTAAAAAGGAATACATTGTCTATATTCCACAAATTACATAGTACGTCCATTTCTGCCTTTATGAAGGACCTACACCCCAAAATAAAGTGTGTGTGTGTGGGATGGGGCTATAATACAGTCTATATCAAAGCTTTCCAACCCTCAAACAGGGGTTCATAATGATATAAAATTTACACCTCTTACATTGAGCAACTCCTGCCAACCCAATGCACTTTCCCTTAAGTAAGAGAAACCCTTTATAATAAAGCATATCCGGCATTCAAACAAAATGCACTCTTTCAACCCATATCATATTCTGCAATGCTTAGAATATCCACAGGAGGGCGCTTCTAAAATAGTATATATATTGTCGAAGGCTTTCATGGCTGGAATCACTGGGTTCTTGTGGGTTTTTTTCGGGCTATATGGCCATGTTCTGGAGGCATTTTCTCCTGACGTTTCGCCTGCATCTATGGCAAGCATCCTCAGATGCTAATGAAGGTGGTCAGTTGAAACATTCACACCTAGCTCCAGCAGAAAAGAGCTCTTTGCCCCACCCCAGCCATTCCACAGATATATAAACCCATATTCCTAATTCCAACAGACCTCACTACCTCTGAGGATGCTTGCCATAGATGCAGGCGAAACATCAGGAGAAAATGCCTCTAGAACATGGCCATATAGCCCGAAAAAAACCCACAAGAACCTAGTATATATATTTTTCACAAGTGGGACACAGAAAGAGCCTCCTGAAAGACTCAGCAAATACAGTTGGGTGTCCCCAGGGCAACGTTTCTTATAAACGGCCAATCTTTCCAACCCAAAAGCATTGCTTTACAATGTTTTTATTTATACAATGCCTTTTGGCACGAAATTAAAGAAAAAAAAACAAGACAGAAAGTTCAGAAAGGACATTTTAGAAGGAGAGGAGGACTTTGAGGCTATTACATACTAAAGGTAAAACACAATTAGCACAATGTATTGTCGAAGGCTACAACAGCCCAACAATTAGCACAGTTAAAAATTACAGCTTGTGTCCGCAAGTTATTTTCTCACAAAATAGTGTTCTGGTACTGAGAACGGAAAATTGTTGAGATGGGGAAAATAGGCAAATATATTTCAAAATGGCAAAATAAACATGTTTTTCAAACACTAAGAACAATGAAGGGAAGAATCCTGGATGGATGTGATTTTTTTTTTCACTTTAGGACTTACTCTACATAAAATTCCTATGATAGGCAGAAAACAACACTTTCTGTGCAGAAAATACATTTTTTACTATCATTATATTTTATAACATAATTATAATAATGTATTTTCTGCTAATTATTTTTGCATGTTTTTTGCCCCAAAATAGGGGGGGGGGTTGCACCAAAAAAACCCCTATTTTTCATGAACCGGGATTGTGGCACAGCTGCATTAAGATCACTCTGACCAAAAGGTCATGAGTTCGAAGCCAGCCCAGGTTGGAGTGGGTTTCCAACCAGTTGTGTAGCCTGTTGTCGACCTTTGCAACCCGAAAGACAGTTGCATCTGTCAAGTAGGAAAATTAGGTACCACCTTAAAGTGTGGGGAGGCTAAATTAACTAATTTGTGAGGCCATAAAAAAGACTCCAGCAAAGCACTCGAGCAAAAAAGCATGCAGGGAATGTAGAAGTACTTCATCAGTGTCGCAGATGGATGATGAAAGCAACAGCTCCCCTGGTGGCCAGAAAAAATTAAATAGCCTCTGTGTATGTCTGTATTAGGGCTGGGCGGTTTCGTTCGTTAATTTCGTAATTCATTAATAATTCGTATTTAAAGTAGCTTACGATCCGATATTGAACCATTCAGGAGCAACTAAAAATCGAAACGAATTTTTAAAATTTATTTCGTATTGTTTCGTAATTGTTTCGTAATTGTTTCGAAATTGTTTCAAAATCGTTTCGTTATTATTTCATTATTATTTCTGTATGTCTGGTGCAAGTTTTATGGTTGTTGTTTGTTTTATCAGTGATAAAAAAATAAATTATCACACCAACAGTCAACAACAGAAGGAGAGGGAAGCTTCAGAAGTTCCCCCTGTCCCATTTGGAGGGTTCTTTAGCGTATTGTGCAATCGCGTCCGCCATTAACGAATCAATTCGTTATTGTTTCGAAATTGTTTCGTAATTTCCGAAATTTTGTAAATATCGAACTTTTTTAAAGAAAAATTTCGGAATTCTTTTAAAAAACAAAACGCAAAAAACCCCTAAAACCGAATCGAGTTTAGAAACAAATTTTTCCATGGTTGCCCAGCCCTAGTCTGTATATGTTGTATGTCAAAATTGGCATTGAATGTTTGCCATATATGTGTACACTGTAATCCGCCCTGAGTCCCCTGAGGGGTGAGAAGGGCGGAATATAAATGCTGCAAATAAATAAAATAAATGCAAAATGACCATGTGTAAATTTTCTGCAAAGAATTGCAAATATACTACAAATGCTATGTAGTTTCAGAAGGCTTATTCGTCAATATAAGAAAAATGTTAAGATTAGTTGTTGCGAAAATCTGGAAACAGAGGGAAATACCAGACTTAGATCAGTGGACAAATAAAATAAGAGAGATAAAAGACATGGATAAATTAACATTTTTATTAAAGAAAAATTCGGAAATCCGATTAAACAAACAAATTGGTCACAAGTGGAGGAATACGAAGAAAGGAGAAAACGAAAGAACTATTAAAAGAACTTTTATAAGAATTGACACAACTGTGGTCAATGTTACAGCATTTTTCACACTTTTTTGTCTCCTTTATTATATCAAATATAGAAGATTGCTGAGTGTATAAGTTTAAAAATGCTATGGATTAGATGGAAGTCACCAATTTTTATTTTTATATTTTTTATCTTGCAATTACATTTTTTTCTCTTCCCTTTCTTTTTTTCTTTTTTGTATGCTGTTTCGGAGTTTGTTTGTTTTTTACTTTATTATTCCTCTCTTTTTCCTTCTTTCTACTTTCTTCTTACAGCATTGTTCCCCCACTTTACTTGGAAAACAAAACCTTTTCCCCTTTTCCCCATTTCTATATTATTCAAAATAAAAAATGTACTCAAGATTAGTTGTTGCTTTTTTCAGGAAGAAACTTAGTGAAGAAATTACACCCCAGAAGGACTGAGAATGGCAAAACAAAATTCACCAAAGTGCAAAACCTGGAGGAAATTTGTATACCCACGTATGCATTATTCCAAGTTATGTAGATTTAATCTGTTCACTACATGATGCAATGCAATGCTCATAAAGCCTGAATCTGAGCTATGAAATGGCTCTCTTGTCATGTAATGACACACTCCCTGAAGGTATAAGAAAATGTAATATAGAGAGAGCAAGAGACTGACTCACCACAGCGATCCCTGATGACCAGATTCCTGCCTTCTTTTAGATGTATCGTTAACAGATATGCAAATGAGCTGGGCAATTTACTCACACAATCGCTTCCTTCCTCAAGTGCCTGTGAAAATTTTCAAGAAAGAGTATTAACACTTATCTGTTTCACTTCCCATAAAGAACATTGCATCAGACCATCAGACTGTAGCACTGGGAACCACCACATGAAAGGTCACCTAATTTGGAGCTACATGTGTTTATATCCTTTCAAAATAGCAAGCAAACTATGGTTTCTATCATAAAAGAGAATTTTGGGGTTCATCATGGTGAAACTTGATGTTCCTAAAGTCCTCCCTCCACCAAGTGTGCCTACTAGGCTTGTTTGATCCAAAAACAATTGGTTCTAAACTCGTTTCGGATGTAGAGGGTGCCGGTGGTTCGATTCTAAAGTCAATCCCTATTTTCACAGAAAAAAGAGTTCTAAACTTTTCGAACCTTCCAAGACTTCGGAATTTTTAATAGTTTGAAAGTGTTATTTCCTGTTTCATTGCGTGATCTCTACTTTGAAAGTAGTTGTTTTACTCCAGGAGCGGATTATAACTTGCTTCTGTAACTTTGGGGCTTTGGCAGCTTGTGGGGGAGGCAGAGCAAATCCATGCTTCTCCCCTATAACTCACTTGAACCATGGATTTGCTCCGCTTCTTCCTCAGGCCGTTGGGGACAGCCGGTTTTGGAGTCACAGAGGTAAGTTGTGGGGGGGGGGCGTGGGTTTGCTCCACTTCTTCCTCAGGCCATCCCGAATAGATTACTGCAACACGCTCTACGTGGGGTTGCCTTTGAAGACTGTTCAGAAACTTCAATTAGTCCAATGGGCGGCGGCTAGATTACTCACCGGAGCATCATACAGGGAGCATACCACCCCCCTGGTATGTCAGCTCCACTGGCTGCCGATCCAGTTCCAAGCACAATTCAAAGTGCTGGTTTTGACCTACAAACCCTATACGGCTTCGGCCCAGCGTACCTGTCCGAACGTATCTCCTTCTACGTCCCACCTCGGAGTTTAAGATCTTCTGGGGAGGCCCTGCTCTCAGCCCCACCTTTATCACACGTGAGACTGGTGGGGATGAGGGACAGGGCCTTCTCGGTGGTGGCCCCTCACCTGTGGAATTCACTCCCCGGGGAAATTAGGTCATCAACATATATATATATATATATATATATATATATATATATTAGAGCTGGGCGGTTTCGTTTCGTTAATTCGTAATTCGTTAATAATTCGTTAATTTTTTCAATTACAAAACGATAACGAACCATTCTGGAGCAATTATTAAAAAAACGAATTTTCAAAAACGTTTTGTAAATGCTTCATATTTCGATATTGTATTCGTTTCGTTATTGTTTTGAGGTCGTTTCGTTATTATTTCCGCATGTCTGGGCCAGTTTTATGGTTTAATTAGTGAAAAAAAATTATAATATCACACCAACAGTCAACAACAGAGGGAATGGGAAGCTTCAGAAGGTTTTGGAGGTTTTTTAGCGTATTTCGCGGTCGCGTCCGCCATTAATGAATCGATTCGTTATTGTTTCGGAAATCGATTCGTTAATTTTTTACCATTTACGAAATTTCGTAAATATCGAACTTTTTAAAAGGAAAATTTTGTCATTATTTTAAATATCGAAACAAAAAAACCCCCCAAATACAAATCGATTTTAGAAACAAATTTTTCCGTTGTTACCCAGGCCTACTGGATATGGGACCAGGCCTTTGGGTAAGTTGGCAGATGGATAAAGGACAATGACGACCAGAGTAGGAAAGGACTATGTTAATGCTGGATGGACTATGGATTTATGAATTGGGGAACATTGACCACAATATGATTTTATTGCTGCTATTGTATTAATTGGATTGTTTTAACTAGTTATAGTTGTTGTTGATATATTGTATTTCGTATATTGTATTTTGTGAACTGTTAGGCATTGAATTGTGCCTTTTGTAAGCCTGAGTCCCCCCTAGGGGGGTTGAGAAGGGTGGGATATAAGTGCTCAAAATAATAATAATAATAATAATAATAATAATAACAATAACAATAATAATAATATAAGGGAGAAGCATGGATTTGCTTCTTCCTCAAGCCATTAAAGCCAGCCAGTTTTAAAGTCACAGAGGCGAGTTGTAAGGGAGGGGAGTGGATTTGCTCCGCTTCTTCTTCAGGTCATTGGAGCCAGCCAGTTTTGGAGTCACACAAGTGAGTTATAAGGGAGAAGCATGGATTTGCTCCGCTTCTTCCTCAAGCCATTAAAGGCAGCCAGTTTTAAAGTCACAGAAGCGAGTTATAAGGGGGAAGCTGAATCATTGAATCATTTCTGACTCACTTCATGAGTCGTTTAAAAAATGGCAAAAAAGCTTTGAAATGGCAAAAGACTTCTGGGTTTTCTTTAAAACTTCAAAATCGCTTCAAAAAGGAAATCTTTCCGACTTTATTCCGATCAATGAAAGTTCCGACTGGACCTAACCATCCCTAGTGCCTACAGTGTTTATTGTTGTGTGTCTTCAAATCATTTCTGAGATATGGCAACGTAATGTGAACCAATTATGCGGCTTTTTTTGGTAAGATTTTTTTACCAGAAAATTTGCTCTTTTTTTGCTTGTGAGTAGAATGGTGTGACTTGCCCAATTTCACTGAGCAGTTTTCCATGGCTCAAAGGAGATTTGAACCTTGGTCTCCCATAATCTCAGCCCAGTGTTTGAGCTTCTACACTAAGTTGATTCTCCAAAGTCTTTTTGTTATCTCCTCCATCTTTTGGTGGAATTTCCTTGGTAAGATTAATTCCAAGCAAGCTTGCTGTCCCCTTCTTCTGAGGCTAAAAGGCTCTAGCGCAGGCATGAGCAAACTTTGGCCCTCAAGGTGTTTTGGACTTCAACTTCCACAATTCCTAACAGCCTACTGACTCTTAGAAATAATAATAGTATTAATGTATTGTCGAAGGCTTTCATGGCTGGAATCACTAGGTTCTTGTAGGTTTTTTTCGGGCTATAGGGCCATGTTCCAGAGGCATTTCTCCTCCAGAGGCAGAGGAGAAATGCCTCTGGAACATGGCCCTATAGCCCGAAAAAACCTACAAGAACCTAATAGTATTAATATTCTCTAACAATTAACTGTGCTCCGTGCAGTCATGCCGGTCACATGAACTTGGAGGTGTCTATGGACAACGCCGGCTCTTCGGCTTAGAAATGGGGATGAGCACCAACCCCCAGAGTTGGACACGACTGGACTTCATGTCAAGAGAAAACCATTACCTTTACTAACTATTATCAAGTTAGAGAAACAGCCATATTGCTTTTGAACGTTCACATAACCATTGATGACATTATTAATCCAGGCAATATTTTTAATTTTTTTTTTAAAAAAATGTTTCCCAGAACAGGTTGGTTTTGATGAACATTTTTCCCTTTGTTGACAGTAACTAGGAAGGCGCGTCAAGCCAACCCCATCCAAGACCGCCTTCCACCTGGAAACCAATGCCCTCACTGCGGAAGAAGATGCAGATCAAGAATAGGGCTCAACAGTCACCTATGAACCCACCACCAGGACACCAAACTTGGAGGACCATCATCCTCGGACTACGAGGATTGCCTAAGTAAGTAAGTAAGGTTTGGATCTCTTTTTTAGAGACATACAGCATAATGCAAATAAATAATAATCAATAATAATGTAACTATGTCCCCTAACATCAGTTGGTTTTGGTCAAAGTATTTAATGGAGCTTCTTCCAATAATACGATGTCTGGAAGAGAGGAATACATTTGGTTTGGTTATCTTCCGTTGGTTATTTTCTATAGCACTAGTGATATAACAGGGTTGTGGTGGTGCAGTGGTGGTGCAGTGGCTACAGAACTTGCTGATCAGGGGGCGGAGTTACCATGGCCGGTTGAACAGACGTCTTTCCTCCAGCTCTTGTGGAAATATAGCAAAAAA